TCTTGCTTCTTTGTGTGAACTGTGATGCTCTGTTGTCTCTGAGGCATTGTGACATTTTTGTGTTTATATTTAATTGGCGATTATATGTTGGAGCGACTTGCCCACAATTTTCATTTTCTTTGTTTTGTTTGTATGTTATCTATACAGGCAGGGTACTGTGCTGTGCTCCTCTATTCACTAGTTGCTAGCGCTTATACACTCACCACCTGTCTCCTTTCCTTTGTCAGCCTCTTGTATGTCCTTGCCGATCCTGGCAAACAGAGCCTGTTCTTAGGTCCTTGGATTCCGAATGAGAATGCTATCACTTTAAAATCCAAAATGGTTGCCACTTGTAAACACTCAAAATGGCTGCATCCTTGGTCACTTTAAATATACAAAATGACTGCCGCTTGTAAACATTCAAAATGGCTGCACCTTCCAGACAGCAGAAAATCCACAGCTCAGGTTGTTTCCCTCCTTGCTGCTTCCCTTCCTAGTCTTAGGCCACCAGAGCAGTTGTCCCTGCAGCTATTGGTGACCAGGACTGATCTTTAGGTCAATTCTCAGGTCCCAACACCACTTGGAAATATTCAGGTTATTGATCTCATCAGAGTTGCTGACAGTCCACAGCTCTGACCGTCTCTGTACTTACTGTTTTTGTTCAGGTTTTTCCACTAGTTGGTACCTAATCCACTTCTGTATAGTTCCTTTCAAAGCTCAGGGTTCCAGGATTATCTTCTGTATCTCTGTCAATTGGTTTTTCTTTTCTTTGTTGAAGAGGGTCTGTGTCAGTTGTCTTCCTATTCCTCCATCTTGGACTTTTTCCATTGTTTTGCCACTTTGGGTTCTACCATTTGATTATACCCTGCTCTTTCTTTTCTTTACCAGGAAATGCTGCTGAAAAGAGCTGCAGATCTAGTAGAAGCCCTCTATGGCACACCACACAACAACCAGGTTAGAAGCTCACATTCTACATTCTATTGAGCTTGCTACTTCACTCTGGGTAAGTGTTCACCATCACCTGCCATTTTCTAGGACATTATTTTGAAGCGAGCTGCAGACATTGCTGAAGCCCTCTACAGTGTCCCCAGGAATCCCAGCCAGATCCCTGCTCTCTCCAGCTCTCCAGCTCACAGTGGAATGATGGGGATCAATTCTTATGGCAGTCAGCTTGGGGTTAGCATCTCAGAGTCAACCCAGGGAAATAATCAAGGTACAGCTTTTCTCAGAATTAAAATCCAAACATCTTATACATTTAGAAGGTTGGTTCTGCTGGAGTGGAAGGAGTTTGAGCTTGATCATACACTATGAAGAAGAATGTGTCTGCAGATAAGCAATAAAGTCATATATTAGAATTTTTCAATATTATATATTGTATCCTGTTAGATTTTGAGGGTTTTAGATACTAGTAGAATTTCTTTGGGAGCTCTGGTAGCATAGTGGCTAAGACACTTGCCTGCTAACCAGATGGCTGGCGGTTCAAACCCACCAGCCACTCCCCGGAAGGAAGGTTGGGCAATCCTACTTCCGTAGTGATACTGCCTCGGAAACCCAAGGAGGGGTCGCTATGAGTCGGGTTTGACTTGATGGCACATAACAACAACAACAACAGAATTTCTTTAACTGGAAGTATCTAAGGAAAGGATTGACTGTTATGAATTTAGAAGGGTTTAGGTTTACTGGAACTAGGGTTAGAGGCATCCATTGAATAAAATTTACATTTCTGCTATTGTGATAACCAGATTGAATAATGGAAAGAGGATGAATTATTGCCATTATCATTTATTATACCCAACTCTATCTTCCTGGTAACCAAGGGTGAACAGTTTGGTTTCATTGGGTAAATTCTAATGATGTATTGTCTTATATATAAATATATAGCAACAAACATACATAGGTATGGATGCTGTTAGAAGTAAAATAAATATTGTAAAGATTTTTTTCAGGAAGGTCGATTTTATTATTAAGGTACTGATCTAAATTTATCATAAAAACAGTGTTTGACTACACAATTAGCCAATATATTACAGAAGCAACAGAAGGCAGAGTTGGAGTAACTTCTCAGAGACAACCAAACACCTTGAGAGAAAGAATTACTGGGCCTGATGGCTCAGGACTGTAGTCTCAGGGGAGATCATGCTCAATTGGCACAACAACGTACATAAAAATCTTGTTCTACAACCTACTTTAGTGAGTAGCATCTGGGATCTTAAAAGCTTTCGAGTGCCCATCTAAGATGCAACTATTAGTTTCCTCTCATCTGAAGCAAAGGAGAATGAAGAAAACCAAAGGCATCTGGAAACAAATAGTCCAAGGATAAGGTGGACCATGAGGACCTCAGCCTTCATGACCCTGAGACCAGAAGAACTACATGGTACCTGGCTACCAATGCCAACCACTTGGAAAGGGATCAAAACTGGAGATCCTGGATAGAGTGGGAGGAAAAATGTGGAACAAAATTCAAAAATACAACAACGATCAAAATTACTGGTCAGATAGAGACTAGTGGAACCTCTGAGAGTATGGCCCCAGGTTACCCTTTGGGCCTAGAAATAGACTCACTTCCATGTATTAGCTCTCAGTCCAACAGTAGAATTACCTACATGGGGAACACATACATCAGGGTGATGCACCCACCTGCTCTAGGGAGCTGCACCCCTTAGAGCAATCAGCCATGAGACACCAGAGGAGCAGCATTCACATAGAGGGAAAGCTGGACAGACAGGAACACATAGTTAAGAAGGGCACAGGGAAAGGGTAGTCACAGGGAGGGGAGGGGAGGAGAGTTTGTTATGGTCAAGGATGGTAATTGAGGCATGAAATCAACTGTGCAAACTGTTGAATGTAAAAGAAATTTGCTTTGTAAATCTGCAACCAAAGCACAATAAAATTAAAATAATTAAAATGTATAAAAGCAAAGGTAACACTAGAATAAAAATGTTTTACAAAATACCAAAAAAAGACAAAAAAAAAAAAAAAAAAAAAAAAACCCACAAAAAAAAAACAAACCCACAAAAAAATGAAAACCAGTTTTTGAAAGAAGTAAATGCTCCTAATAATGTCCCTAAACTTGGGATATTTTTATTTCTAATTTTTTTCAGAGTGCTAAATGACCCAAAAGTTTATTTGGATACCTTTCCAGCACTACCCTCAAAAATATGCTATGGTCTATTTAATTTGGAAAGTAGTAGATCAACAAAGTAAAGCTGGGTTATTTATTCTCTAGATGCTTTATATGTGAATCTTCAAAAAGTTGCTACAATATACAACATTTGCCAAGCTTTATTTGACCTTAGAATGCTTTTCCCAGAAATGCCAATTAATATCTATAGGATTCCAGTGCTAAATGAAATACAGTTCGTGAGTTGTCACTCCACACTGCCATTAGACACTTACTCCTTGGTATAAGTTGGAGATGCTGAAAGCAGGTTTGGAAGAAAGAGAAGAGAGGAAATGTAGGGATATGAGCTATGTAAGGTAGGAAAGAGATAAGGTATATCTGTTGCCAGTGAGTAAATTCTGATGCATAATGACCCCACAGAACAGAGCAGAACTGCCCTGTTGGATTTCCAAGGCTGTAATCTTTATGTAAGCAGACTGCCACTACTTTCTCCCATGGAGCGGCTGTTGGGATTGAACAATTAACTTTAAACCTTTAAAACCAACCTTTTAAACCTTTAAAAAGAGCAACCCAATGCTTAACCACTGTGCCACCAGGGCTCCTTGAAGAAGGCATAAAAGGCTAAAACCAAACTGTATGCTTTCTGAGGTCAGCTTGGTGGTGTTCCAGAGTCAACATGGACGAGTGCTCGCCATATCTGACCTGCTCTGTGCGTTCAGTTTGATTTACATGGGCTTTTCCTTTGTTGTCAAGGATACATCCGCAACACAAGCAGCATCTCTCCACGAGGATACTCTTCCAGCTCCACACCTCAGCAGTCTAATTACAGTACCTCCAGTAACAGTATGAATGGCTACAGCAATGTCCCCATGGCCAACCTGGGTGTTCCAGGATCACCAGGATTTCTCAACGGCTCACCCACAGGTTCCCCTTATGGAAGTAAGTGTCCTTTCCACCTGGATGTCTTTCTATATCTCTGTGCCTCTGGGGTTTACTATTGAGCCTTTTTTGGGAAAGGCTGTATTCGTAACTCTTAGTAAATTGTTGATGAGGAGCCTGATTCCCTGATGGTATGTTAGCCCTAATTCTTGTTTCTTTTCCTTAGTGGGGCTTTGGCTGGTTTGGTTATTCAAGACTTTTTTGGGGGAGAGGAAAGGCATAAAACTATCCTGTGTCACAAAGAAGAAGTGTATGTGGCCTGTGAGGATGAGAGTAAGGGATTAAGTTTCCATTTCAGTGAACATTGTGTGTACTCTTTATTAGGTACATTACATGTAACATTTTATTTAATCTTTATAGGAACTTTCTGAGGTTAGTATAATTATCTCCATTTTATTGGTAAGGAAGTTGATGTGCACAGAAATTAATTGACTTATGCAAGATCACACAATTAAAGAAAAACAGATCAATAATTTGGATGCAGAACTTATGACTGCAGGTTATTTTGTGCAACTCACCAAGCTTCCTTCTTTCTTTGTTACATAGCTCCACCCTCCCTTAGGTACCTCCAGAGAGTTGGGAGCTGACTGCTTGTAATAATGCAATAGATTGAGACATAGCCTCCTAATCTTAACCTATGGTCTAGCAGCCATTTAGATACCCTGGGAAGTTGTGAAAGCTCATTTGGTTTGCTTTGGGGGCTAAACTTGGAACTTACGTAATGGTCCCAGGAGCCTGAGAGAGTATGTGTGTTTTCCAAAGTTGCTTAGGGAATACTTCGGGTCAGGGGGAGAATTTGACAAGGAGAGGCTACAGTGGTTGAGTCGAATGTTCTTGAAATGCTGGGTATAGTTGCAAGGCCCTGCAGCATTCTGTCTTTCACCCGGAATGGCTCCCTTCTGCCAGAGCAAGTCAAGGACCGCACACATCCACATGCACCACAGCTCCGGAAGCAGCATGGCTGGATCTGGAGGCTGCCTCTCACATCCTCGGGGGCTGTGGCTCCCTGGGGACACATAGCCATGAGTTATTTCTGGATTATCTGTTCAATTTTACAGTCAATGCTCTGCACCAAGTAGCAGAGGTTAGCTCTTTTAGCACAACTAAAATCTTGTTACTGCAAAGGCATGGGTTCTATGCTGTGTCTTGTCAGATGGCCCAGATCAATTAGATTAGATGAATCTAAGCTAACAAATAGCTGATCTATTTGTTTGTTTGTTTAATTACTTGTTTTTACATTGTTTTTTTCCAAAATTTTTTTTTTTTTTTTGAAATCTTAAAAGTCAAATGGGCAGTACAAAAGGATAATATAGAAACTAGGAAGAAACCAAAGTGAAAAAGAAAAAATATGGTAGGAAAATAAGATAGATGCTAGGGCAAGTGTGAAAGCCAGTCAGTCTATTCAGCAGGGCTTCTGATTTGGTTCTGAGCTTAGACGATGCTACAACAAAGAAGGAAACACTGTTTTTTAATACAATCATATGTCCACACATTTTTATTTTATATGTTAAGTAGCTCAGGAGAAAACTTGATTTTTCTGTTGGTAAACTCTTGGAGAGATTTCTCCCATGCATCCTCATAGAGGAGATACTCTGTGTGTTAAAGGGACAAAATCCTCAACAATGAATACAATGGTGAGAGTCATTACATAAATAATGTGAAATCATAGTGATAATGGTAGTAAAAATAGTTACAAATTGCATTCCATTTTACACCTTAAAAAAACACATTGACATATAATCTTGTCAGATCCACACAAGCTTGTAACATGGACATAATAATTATCATTATAATTTTCATTCTAAGATATGAAGGTTTATTAAATAACTTATTCATGTATTTATAGCCAGTAAACAGTAAAAAAAAAAAAAAAAAAAAGGAGCTAGAACATTTGTCATCAGATTCAGAATGCTTTATACTAAACTACAATATAAAATATCTAATATACTCAATGTATTATTAGGTTGAACCATATGAAATTGCCTCTGTTTGACCACTTTTTATCTACAGAAACATTTATGTATAAAATGTATACATTAGGTTTAGCCTTGGAAAGTTCTTGTTTTTGTTGATTAAGAATGGTCACCCTACTCATATAGTGTACAGTGTTTGGAGATGGACAGGGAAAAAATGCCCAGGTGGGTATTAATGTTTCTTACTAGATGATTCATTTGGCAAGGATGGTGCTTCCCATCTTTTGGTGCACTCCAGCAAGTGACGATTTCCTTCCACTATCTTTCCCCCATGGTCACTCAAAGCCACTACTAAGAAAAATAGTAGCACCTCAAATCTTCAAATCACTCATTAAAACAAGGCTGCATATACTAAATAGGAAAAAGAGAAAGAGGTGCTGCCCAACCAAGATGAGAAACATGGCACAGAGATCCTTTTCTTTTCTCTTAATATCCAGCATGAGACTTTGCATCTTTATTTTCTGAGAGCAGGTCTGAAGGAGCGGCAGACTGGGAATGGGATTCCAAACCATGTATTCATTATAATGAAATTCCCCTACCTTGAAATACTGAATACCCAATGGAGTTCATTACAATATTACCTGACCTGTATTTCTAACCAGCTAAGTCTTAACTTCTCTGGGAATAAAAAAAAAAAAAAAAAAAAAAGCCCAGGGGAAAGCATATTGCACTAATTCAGTTGCTTGTGTTTGAAAACACAATTCTATGATTTTTCATTTTATTATTTAAGTGACTCTGATGTAGCTAGACCATGCCATGGGGTAATCACTTGCTAGAGACATTAAAAAGAAATCAAGCCAAGCCTCTCAGTCAAGTTTGACTTGTATCACAGCCAATGTGAGTATCAGAAACCTGCATCTTTACTGCTTTTGCTCTCACACTACTTCAAAAATGTCCAAACAGATGTTTTTTCAATTTTACATACAAACTTCACTTCCTGGCGGTAGCAGTGTGTGCCAAGTTCCAGCTCAGTGCAAGTTTTTATGGCTGAATTCTAAACCCCTGACAATAGGGGGTTATAATGAAATGCTGACAGACCCCTTAGCGTCAACAAATGCAATGGCGCGATGCAAAGGAGGATATGTGCCCGGTGAGTTCCAGCTGGGACTGTGCAAGCCAATCAATTCTCATAAGAAGAAAAGTGGTTTTTCCTTAACTCCCCATGTTCACATAGATTCCTGAGCCTGACATGCTTGCCTTTACTTTGGCCTCCTTCCACAGAGAGATAGCTGTCCAGAGAAAGTCTCAGCTGAGAATATATGTGGTCAACTGTCCTAAAATGGTGCACTCTGGTGTCTCCAAAGATAATCTACCCAACATGCACAGGGATCTCTTCTCCCAAAGTGGAACAGTCACCAAGCACATCCAAAGTTTGGGAGGCATACATACATACATGCAGGAATCCAACCTATCCTCAGGGAATCCAACTTCACTGACATAGATTCTGTCTTGGGCTTCCTCAATATTTTTATGTTTTCAAAAATAAATATTAAGATATTTTCTTTTGTCCAGTATTAAACAATTATTATGGAAAATTTGGGACATGTGAAAATACTTTTAAGAAGAAACTGAAATGAAAGAGAAAAAAATGGTTAGAAAGTAAGATAAATGCTAGGGCAAGTATGAAAGCCACTGTAAAAAAAAACTTCTTTTGATATTTTTATATATTTCTATTGTCTTTTTCTTCAGAAAAGAAATCCTATTACCATAGTAACATTCTCATAATAGACAATTTGAAAAGTATGTATATGCAAAAAGAAGAAAATAAAAATGACATACTGTTCCTCTGCAGAGAAAACCATTGTTAACATTTGAAATCTAGCCTTCTGGTTATGGATAGATACGTTTTGAGAATTGCAATGCCTACTGTGATGCATTACTAATGAGATTTGGCCATAACATCAGTGAAAGAGGGGGTAGAGGAAAAGTGACAAAATTACCCAAGTCACAGATATGTAGGCCAGGCTGTGTAATACCTTTCAGTGAGGCAGACTTATATCCTAAGATATGGAGATCAGATATCAGAAGTGATGCTTGCTTGTAAAATTTAACATAATGGATAAACTTTTTCCAGGATTTGGAGGGGTGTGTGTTTGTTTGTTGTAACAGAAGGATTAATAGATAAAGTTATTTTGTAGGCTGTAATGCCTTAAATCAAAGAAGAGCAATGAATCATTCAGGAACACTATCATGCTGTTGCTAAGGATTGTATAGGGGCAGTGGTGGCTCCATGGTAGAATTTTCCCCTTCCATGTAGCCACCTGTGGTAGTTAAGTTTGTGTGTCAACTTGTCTGGTCCTGGTTGAGTGGCTGGGCAGCTGATGGTAGTTATTCCCCATGATGAAAGTGCCAATCAACTCCATGGTGGGATCTACCACAAGGAGCTGAATAGCTGCTTTACAGATATGGGCTGCTTCCCATATATAAGAAGCAGCCTTGGAAATGGTCTCTAGCTTATGGCACGCTTGAACCATGCATGTAACCGAGTTGCTGTTCAGCAGCTTGTCATGCTCTGCCAACCTTGGGACTTTCAATGGACTTGAATCAATGGCCTGCCGTGTGGTTTGGTAACATTGGGACTATGCCATTTTATTTGTCATCAGCGCCTTTACAGTTAATCAAATTGGAGAACCAAAACAGAATCAGTGAGAATCAATTTAGGAAGCCCATCCTTATGATTTTGTCTGTCTAGAACCACTCTCAGTACTGAAGTCTGCTCTGGTTACCTAGTGCTACTCTGACAGGAAGATACAACAAATGGAATGGCATTAACAAACAGGGGTTATTCTTACAATATTTGGAGGCTAGAAGTCTGAGTTGCAAGTGTCAGGCTCTAGCAGCTGGGTGAAAGCCCCTTAACCTTGGCTTCAGCTCTGCCACTTGCTCCCGGTCCACTGAAGCTAGAGGCATCTCTTCTCACAGGCAGCTACTGGCTGCTGAGGCTAACAAGCCAAAGGTCGACAAATAAAATGTCACAGTCTCGATATTACGAAACCACTTATCAGGGCATTCATTGATTCACATCCATTGAAAGTCCCAAGATCAGCAAAGCATGGCAGGCAGGCTCCTGAACAACGACTTGGCTACATGCAGAGTTCTAGCGTGCCATAAGTTAGAGACCATTCCCAAAGCTGCTGCTTATATATGGGAAGCAGCCCACATCCCTAAAGCAGCTACTCAGCTGCTTGTGGTAGATCCCACCATGGAGTTGATTGCCAGTCTCATCATGGGGAATAACTACCATCAGCTGCCCAGCCACTCAACCAGGCCCAGCCAAGTTGACACACAAACTTAACCATCATACCACTCATCTGTCAACGGAAGCTTGCATGTTTCTGTGATGCTGAATAGATTTCAGCAAAGTTTGCAGACTAAGATGGACTAGGAAGAAAGGCCTGGTGAGTTACTTCCAAAAATCAGCCAACAAAAGCTCTGTGGGTCATGGTGGTCCAATCTGCAACTGATCGTGGGGATGGCACAGGAATGGGCAATGTTTTGTTCTGGTGCAACTCGGCTGCTTGACAGCAGCTAACAATAGCAAGGATTGTATTATTTCTTACCAAAGAAATATAGACTTCCCATTTTTCAATCTTAAAAGCTTTTATGTGTTTCTTCTACTTTAAAAGTAATACATGTCTATTGTAGAAATTATTGAAAACATGGAAAAATAAAAAAGATAAATTTAAGAATACTTATAATCCCATTCAGCCAGAGATACCACAATTAAAAATTGGGATGTATATCAGAATATCACATCCTTCTAAACTTTTGCTATCTGTGTGTTTAATAAAAGTGAGCTCTGGATGTGCATGTTATTATATAATCTGCTTTTTTCATGTATCATTCAGTGCCATTAAACATTCTTCCCCAATATTAGGTTTAATGTTTGCATAGCATTCCATGGTATGTACTTATAATTTATCCCATTGTGGATCATTTAAATAATTTCCCATATTTTATTGCTATAAAACAGTATAGAAACATCCTTAGATCGGTTTTTTTTTTTCCTTCACATTTATGATTATCTTCTTGGGATTAATTTCTGGAAATTAAATTACTAGGTCAAAGGATATGCACATTTTAAAATACTTTGACATATATTGCTCAAGCCCCTCCAGAGAGATTAATTCTTCCCTCAGGAAAAGAAAAGTGTCTGTTTCCCTGCCCTGATAACTTTTTCTTAATCTTTATCAATTTGGTAAGTAGAAAATAACCTCTTGTTACTATTTTAATTAGCATTTTATTACTGATAAGTTTGAATGGTTCTATATAGGTCTCTTGGCTATTTTCATTTCTCCTTTTGTGACTTTTCATGTCCTTTGCCCATTTTCTACTGGCAGTTTTCTTTTTCTAATTGTAAGTACATGTTAGCTGTAAAGGATATTAGCATTTTACCTAAATAGACATAGCAAATATTTTTCCTATTTATCTGTTGCCTTTTTGTGTATATTACAGAAGTTTTTTGTTATGTGGTCAACTCTCTTTTGAAGTTTCATTCAGGCTTTGGTGTCAGATTTAGAAAGGCATATCTAAATTATATAACCTTTCTCATTTTCTCCTAGCACTTTTACAATTCTGTTTTTACAATTAACTCTTTAATCTACTTAGGTTTATTTTGGTGTTTAGCAAGTGAAAGTGAGCTAAATTTATTTTAGTCTCCAAATGGTTAGTTTATTGTTCCCATACATTTATTTCCCAACTAATTTGAAATGTCACCTTTATTATGTATTAATTCTTATGTATACTCAGGTCTGTTTCTGGACTCTTTTCTTCCAAGAATATGCCTGCCTGTTTCTGTCCTAGTACACTAGTACAACACTGACATCTCTAAAGGAGATTTTTTATCTAGTAAGATAAGTGCCCCTTCTTACTACTTTAAGAAAAAAACATTACCACAATTTTCTGGCTCTTATAGTGTTTTTTGTTTTTTTTTTAATTTCTTTTTACTGTTTGTTTCTTTACGTATGAACATAGTAATGATTTTGTCAAAATACACAAATTAAAAACTCTGCTTGGAACTTTTATTATAGTTGCATTAAATTTTAATTTGGACATAATTTGACATCTTTATAAAATTTTTATTAAAACATTTTTAAATGGGCTCTTCCCATTCTGAGACTATGTTATAGCTCTGTGCTTATTCATCCTGAAACAATTTGTTGACGTGACTTACTAATGCTTGGAATGATTCCTCTTCCACTAAGAAGCAATCATATTTGATTTAGCAAGCCCCATGTTAGGATAACTAACTCTAGCTAATTCACTGCCGTCAAGTTGGATCTGACTCATAATGACCCCTCCTTGGGTTTCTGAGGTGGTATCTCTACGGAAGTAGATTGCCCAACCTTCCTTCTGAGGAGTGGCTGGTGGGTTTGATCTTCCAGCCTTCTGGTTAGCAGTCAAATGCCTTAGGCACTACACCACAAGTGCTCCTCATGTTAGGATGGGAACTACTATTTTAGGAAAAAAAAAAAAAATCGTAAAAGTCATGTAATGAATATACATGGAAATGAGTGTGTATGTGTTTATGTGTGCATACCTAATTAACTTCCTGTTAAGATTATAGTGAAGAAAACCCTGGTGTGTGAGGAGAGGTGCTGATATTGCAGATACAGAAACCAGGCATCAGTCTGGTGCTGTGTGGACCATGTAATATGGCTGAGATCAAACTGGGGTCAGAATCATGGCCTCTTGAGTGTTAGGTTTTTTTTTTTTTTTTGATCTCTAATTCTACGCCTCAGAGAAAGGTGAGCATGATTATCTTTAGATAATCTCCATTTTATTGATGTAAAACCAAGACTAGAAATACAGTTTGACGAAACTGTGAATGAGACCTAATTTTGATACTTAACCCTATATTTTATCTTATTCTGGTGAATTACCCCAATTTCTTATTCTTTTAATTTTTCAAATGTTATATATGATTCTGCCTGTATTCTATCATCCTTTGGAAAATGTTCACTTGATTCATGTTATTTGAAGAAAGAGAGAGATGTGTTCCAGTGCTTCCTTCTGAATAACCTTTGAAATAAGGACTACATCTGGTAGCATAGTGGCTAAGGGACTTGACTGCTAACCAGAAGGCTGGCAGTTCAAACCCACCAGCCACTCCCTGGAAGGAAGATGGGGCAATCTACTTCCGTAGTGATACTGCCTTGGAAACCCAAGAAGGAGTCGCTATGAGTCAGGTCCGACTCCACGGCACATAACAACAACAACGAAAAGGATAAGTAGTCTTTAGATAAAGCTCTTCTCTTGAAGCTGTTGGTTTATATTTCAGCTGTAAAAGCCATCACAATAGAGGTATGCTGTATGATTGCTCTATATACTGAAGGGAGCACAGCCCCATGTTTATTTTTGTAGGGAGAGGGTGGACATGGGTATGGATATCCAAATGTGTAACCTTTGGTTGACTTTGGTCATTGCACCCGAAGTCACACTCAGTCCTCACATTCATATTTTACTTTGTGGGATAGTTCATCTTCTGAAGACACAAACCAGGAGTTAGCACTCTTAACCTTTATTGTGGGCTTTGCCATTGTTTTTGTTAGTTGCCTTCAAGTCAACTCCAACTCATGGTGACCCCATGCATTACAGAGTAGAACTGCTCCTTAAAATTTGCTTAGCTGTCATCTTAACATAAGCAAATTGCTAGGCTTTTTCTTTGGTGGTACCAGTGGATGGGTTTGAATCGCCAGCCATTAGGTTAGCAGTCAAGTGCAAACCATTTGTACCATCCAAGGTCCTTGGGCTTTGCCATGAGGCTCCAACAATTGTTTTGGCAAATCATGTGACTTGCATAGCTCAGGATTCTGGGAATTACCCTATTATGATTCCCTAAAATGTGACCTTATACTATAAAGTACTATACCTAAGAATCTTACCCTTGTACATACTAGTTTACCCTTTTCTTGAGCAAGCTGTACAGAGAAGATATTTTCTTGTATAATGAAACTTGGTGGAATATCTGACATTAAGAGATAACACACTTTATTGTATAAATTGCCTTTATTTTTCTTGGAAATTACAACACTTAGCTTTTAGCTTCCTTTAAGTAATTTTGTTAATATTTTAATATTGGTGGGTTTTCTTTTCCCCATAAACATTACATCAGAGAGATCTGACTTGCAGCTTTTATTTCCCAGGAGCTGTGAAAGTACAGGGAAAGGGAGGTAATCTAGTAAATGTTAATAAATTTTTACATTTAATGAGGAAGTGGCCCATGGAGATGGCAATCTCTGAGAAAATGTTAACCCCATAGATTAGAGCTCTGGGGCCCTGGAAGTTCCCAGGGAAGTACATGGCTCCCAGAGAGAACTTCATTTTAGGGTGAAAGAGAGTTTTCTGTTCTTAGGTAGATTTGATGATTTGCAGGCACCTTGATCCCAGTCACCCTCTGTGGTCAAGCTTCTCTTTGCAAATTAAGACCTATCACCACATCATCTCCTGTGGGATGCCTTCCCTGACTCTTCTAGGCAAAAGAAAACTCTATCCTTTGTGTCTCCTTACCAGTGTGTACATTCCTCTATTAGAATAATTACCACTTTCTCTTTCTACTTTTCTATTTCCTCCACTGAACAGGGCAAGAACTGTGTCACATTTGACTCTTTAATCCCTGGAAATTATTAATATTTCAATAAATGTGTGTCCAAAAAAACCAAACCAAATTCACTGCCATCAAGTTGGATCCAACTCATAGCAACCCCTCCTTGGGTTTCCAAGGTGGTATCACTACGGAAATAGATTGCCCCATCTCCCTTCTGAAGAGTGGCTAGTGGGTTTGAACCACCACCCTTCTGGTTAGCAGTCAAATGCCTTAGGCACTACACCACCAGAGCTTCTATAAATGTGTGTAGAATATGTATATTGAAAGAAGAACTTAATTTTGATGATACCCTTTCTAAAGGAAACATTTGTACACAGAGCTCCTATAAATGTGTGTAGAATATGTATATTGAAAGAAGAACTTAATTTTGATGATCCTCTTTCTAAAAGAGACATTTCTACATTTGCTTTCCAGTCATGTCATCAAGCCCCACTGTTGGATCTTCCAGCACGTCCTCCATCCTACCATTTTCCTCTTCAGTTTTTCCTGCTGTCAAACAGAAGAGTGCCTTTGCTCCTGTCATCAGGCCCCAAGGCTCCCCTTCACCAGCCTGCTCCAGTGGCAATGGAAATGGATTCAGAGGTAGGCAAATGTACCATGTTGAGAGTAAGCAGATAGATGAACCATGTTGTTGTTGTCATGTGCCATCAAGTCAAACCCGACTCATAGTGACCCCTCCTTGGGTTTCTGAGGCAGTATCACTACAAATAAACAAAACCCACTGGCATCGAGTTGATTCTGACTCATACTGACCTCCATTGGGTTTCTGAGATAATAAATCTTTACAGAAGTAGATTGCCCTGTCTTCTTTCCACAGAGTGGCTGGTGGGTTTGAACCACCAACCTTCTGATTAGCAGTCAAATGCCTTAGGCACTATGCCACCAGAGCTCCTTAGAACCAAAAAGTAAGAGTAAAAATCCCACCATTTTGTATCTCTACCCATCTACCTGGAGTCCCTAGGTGGTACAAATGGTGAACATGCTTAGGTGCTAATGAAAGGTTAGTGGTTTGAGTTGTTATAGAGGTACTTGAGGAGAAAAGCCTGATGACCTACTTCTGAAGTAAACAGACATTGAAACCCTACGAAGCACAGTTCTACTCTGACATACATGAGGTCGTTTGGGGTCAGACTCAACTCTACTGTAACTCGTGTTAGCCATCTACATACAAAGAAATATTTTGATATTTTCATCATTGGACACCTATCGCTTATACAATAAAAATGGGTTAGTAGTCCATCTAGAAACAAGATAGTGTTGGAGGGCAGCAACCTCAGCAAGGTCATTGAATTAACTGGTAGATCCATACATATTATCCAGGAGTTCCTAGCCTCTCTCCTGCCCTCCTGCCCTAGTTCTTTGCTTTCCACAGGGCGACTCCACTTTTTTCCAAAAGGTGTCTGGATCACCATATCTGATGGCCCATGGTGATTACTGCTTCCCTAATCTGCTTGCCATTTGCAATGCACACACTTTCCCATGGCACAGAAAGACAGGGTCCATCAGGAGCAACCAGCAAGTTCTGAGAATTCTGGTTACATTCTAGTGAAATTGATAACAGGTGCCTGATCAAGGGGGGAATGGTAGGAAAGAGAAAAAAGACATACTATTTTTAAGAACAAAAATTAATATCACCCATCAAAACCATTTTTGAGCAATGTCTTACAATGTAATATGACATGATGTAACACAAATGTGATGAGTACACGAGAATCTAATCATCTTGTTGTGAATGGGAGGCAGCTGATGGCAAAGAGCAAATTGGAAACTGCTGAGCACTATGGATCACTGACGACCCAGATTATTTTTAGGCTGTTCACACATCTTGACATGAAAACATTCATGACAGGCAGTGTTGGATCAAACCAAAAAGGGCAGAGGTTCAGTTAACCCCTCATGGATCAAAGCCTCTGAGGTCTGCAGAGCTTGACAAGGAACCTTGGATGAGCTGTGCCGCCCCTGGAATGGCATCGACCTAGTAGCTTTATAATAGTGTATGGATTTCTAATCCTTTTGGGAGTCCATAGCGGGTTTGCTTGCCAGTTGTGGCTGAGCAGAGCCCTGTGTGGTTCCGGTTCTATCCTGCAATTTGAGAGGATGGTGTATCCTCAAAGTCAAGTGACTAGAAAGAACAACTCTCCTAACCAAAGCTGAAAACCCAGCACTCAGAGGAGTGAAGTCACTGGTATTCTCCTACTTCTAACTCAGCCCTGTAGTCTGGGTTCACATGTCATCCAACATGTGAGTAGTTGGAAATATTTGTATATTTGATGGAACTTTTTTTCTTTTTCATCGAGTTGTCTGATACACAGAGAACAGGCTCAGCCTGTAGCTAACTGTCTCTACCTGCCCTGTTTCTCATCAAATACCACAGTTTCCTTCTCATTGTTAGGGGATGTGCCCATAACTCTTTCCATGGTGACTTCTTCTCCAGCTGGGAAATGAAATCAACTACTAAATAGTTGCTGCATCTTCCCCTTCCCCACATCACTTCAGTGATAATGGTTTTCCATGATGACTTGAATCCAGACTTTGACTTCAGAGCCTATGCACTTACCCCATGACCCACTGTCCCTCCCAGGACAATAACAGTGAAATTCCTCTCTTCACCCAGGGACCATACCCACTTTCCACCTTTTTCATGCAATGGCAAAGGTAAAAAGGAACTGGAGTGCAGTTAGCAGCCCTTCTGCAAGAAAATGCCTGGATTTATTCATGTACCTTAAACCAAGTAGGGGCTAAACTGGTCTCTTTAGGAAATGCAGAGTGATAGGCACAAGAGAGCCCAAGGAGAAGAGCAGGCCTCTTCTATACTGTCATGGGAGAACTACAGGAACATATATAGTCCTTTCCTCATTCCTGGCAATTTTTGCACATATTTTCAGCTTTACTTTAAGGGAAAAAAAAAGTGTTTCTTGACCTCTACCCGCCACTTCTCCTTCGTCCTCTCTCACACGTGCACTGAGACTGACATACTAGAGCTGATGGTCTCAGCTCCCCAGGAGCCTCACTCATGGGGCCTGCCTGCAGTGGGTCTGCATAGATGCCAGGACAAAGTATCCCACTGGCTCCCATGGACTCTAATCCCACTCTGCCTCTGATTGCCTGTCCAAGGCCCTTATGTGGTTTTTGCTGTCAAGCTGCGTCAGCCCAAAGAGCTGGAAGATAGCCTTGTATGCTCTTGGTGAGGTTTTATACATAGGCACAAACTCTAGGTTCTAGCTTCATCTCTGTGGAATCACTGTGACACTCCAAACCTCTTTTGAATTCTACAATTCCCTACAAATGATAGAGAAATACAATTCCTGATGATTTGAGCCTTTTTTTTTTTAAAAAAGCAGACCTTATCAATTTAGGGTTGTAGCTAAAATATTGCAAATAACTATAAAAGTATAGAATGGCATGTGGAGAAATAAAAGAGAATTCCAAGGAGAACCTCAGAATACTAACCATTGGAAGATCACTAAACTTGAGCTCATCAGATGTGTGTTCCAGTTCTATCTCTGTAACTCCCAGGCCTTTTGAGCTAGAGCAAGCCATTATCATCTCACAGCCTCAATTCTTAGTGTGTTAAATAAGAAAAGTGACAGCTACTTCCAGAGGTTGTTGTGAATTAACAGTGGAAGAACTGAGAAAAGGAAAGGATCAGTAATGTGAAATACTACAGTATTTCATATATTCTGGCAGAGAAGAGACTGGAGTTGACAATGGACACTTTTCACAAGCTTTGCCTTCCATTCTTAGGCCTCCGTTTTGGGCAGCTGGTGCCAGGTCAATGGAAGCTCATTGCCCAATATTTAGGTGCCCCCCATTGCAGAGAGGGAGAAAACTAAGCTGACATTTAATGTGGTATCCACAGTCACTGGAGGAATCCAGGAATGTAAGACTCATCCCTTCAGAGATAGACAATCAGAGAGAGAAAATGTGAGCTGAGATGCTTTGGTGATCACACTGATGGAGAGGGTCTTCTCTAGAATTACCATAAAGTGAGATGGTCTTACTCATCTGCAAAGGGCTCTCTACTATGTGCTAGCAGTTATTGAGCACTATGTGTGAAACCATTGAACAGAGTACAGTACTTGACATGAATTATCTCATCCAGGACTCACACTTGACCCTAAGTGGAAGGTCATTCCATTATTACCATTTTCAGTTACGGAGTTTGCCCAAAGCCACGATGACTTGAACCCTGACTTTGATGCCAAAGCCTGTGCACTTACTACAGCCCACATTCCCTCCTAGGACAATAATAGTGCAATTCCTCTCTTCACCCAGGGCCTGTATCTACTTTCCACCTAGACCAAAGGGAGCTTATTGCTTTTTCATGAAATACCAAAGGTAAACAGGAACTGAAGTGCAATTAAGTAGCCCTCACAATTAACTGCTGCTTTCTGTTTATTGGGTGTGGTTTCTATAAGGAAAATATCAGCAGCAGCATCTAGCAGAAATACAGCCCTCCAACTTTTTTATGTGAGGCTAGGAAGAATAAAAGTATGTGAAATCTATTGTGCTTCCGGCATGTGGTTCATCTTGTTCTTTGAGAGTTCTGTCCTTTCAATAATTTCGTTAGGTAACTTTCTGAGGACACAGAAAAAGGAAGGGCTTAAGAGTTTTAACAGAGACCTGGTGGTGCAACAGTTAAGTGCTTGGCTGCTAACCAAAAGGTGGGCAGTTCAAACCCACCCAGGGTTTCTGTAGGAGAAAGACCTGGTGATTTGCTTCTGTAAAGATTGCAACCTAGGAAACCCAATAGGGTTTCTGTCACATGGGGTCACTATGAATTAGGATTGACTCAGTGATACCTAACAATAACAACAATGAGTTTGAAATGTAACAGACAAGTTAAAATAAAAAATGCTACACAGAATTCTACTGCCAGGGATTTATACACACAGCATTCATTATGCCACCTTGTGTGCATCTCATTTCTCAGGCATTTACAGTGAGGAGTGTCGATTATTGAGATAATATTATACACTGTGTGCCTGATTCCTTTTCCAGCTCCCTCCAGGAAAAAATAAAATAAAAACTCCTACACTCTGGGATAATTACCAGGGTTGCTGTATCTCCAAATCATCAGGGAGTGTCCAGAATTGAACCACCTTTATTGAAAAGTTACATCGATTCAGTATATAGTAATACAGGCAAAAATAATTAAGACTTTGCTAGCTGTGTAAGAGCTTAATCCCGATCTCACAAACATTCAATAAAGGCAGTATACGCAAGGAAACAGCTGACAGTTCTGCCTGAGAGGACTAGCTGGTGTGGAGAGAAAGGGCAGAGGGATGAGTGAGAGACAGACATGGGCTGGGAGCAGTGGGGGGAATTTGGGCCATTTGCTGGTAACTAGCACTCAGCAAAATGCTTCTATGATATTTGATATGCCCCTAGATGAGATGTGGACAATACAAATCAAAGTATCTAATTATAGATATGATTTTAACTTTTGATTCAAGGAAAATAGTATTCTAACAGTTTCCAAGAATTTGCAGACTCTCTTAGTTCATCGTCTGATGGCCAAGGCCGGAGGAGTGCACTGTGCTGTGATTTTGCCCACACTGTGCTGATGCTGCTTTATTTCTGGTGTCAGGGAAGCTTTGGTTGGGATTCTACATCATCATAGGAGGAATACAGGAAGGATAAATCCTTTCCTCATTCCTGGAAACTCCTACAAATATTGTCAGTGTTAAGGAAAAGAAAAAAATGTGTCACTTGATCTCCACCTACCACCCCTCTACCACCACCTCTCACTCTTACACTGAATATTGGGAACTAGAGCTGACTGTCTCAGGTCTCGGTAGTCTGTAATGCCCAGAGAGTCTCCCTGTGGAGCAGGCATTGTTCACATCCTCTTGAGTAGATGAGGGGCACTGAGTACTGCACCAGGTGAAGGATGAGGAGTGGGGATTGAGATGACTCCCAAATGAGAAACCGTTAAATCTCCTTTTCCACTGGATCAGCATTCATTAGTGAATGAACATTGCATATTAGCAGTAAACACCAAAGGAAGATAAGTTAGTTAAAACAAAGAGCTAATCCATTTTTGGCTAGAATGGATAGAAGAAGCCTAGGATGGATACAAAATCTGATTTGTTATAAATGGTGGAGGTCTGGTGGCATAGTGCCTAAGTCATTTGACTGCTAACCAGAAGAAGCCTGGTTCAAACCCACCAGGCACTCAGCAGAAGGAAGACTGGGCAATCTACTTCTGTAAATATTTACTGCCTCGGAAACCCAAAGGAGGTCGCTGTGAGTCGGAATCAACTTGATAGCAGTGAGTTTGGTTTTGGGTTTTAGTAACTGAACAGGCTCAGCAGCTGAAGTTTTTCTTCCTGTTCTAACTTAAGTGATTTGGAACAGCAAAATCTGGCAGGTGTTTTTGCCTAATAATAAAAAATAAATCACACATAAATTACAATTTAGTTTACATCTATGATCACACTTATAACAACTTGTTAATATAAAACAAAACACAACACAACTCCTGGTTTCCCAAGTAAAACTCTGCCAACAAGCTTGGTTTAGACTGCAATGAAAAATATTGCTTCAGTGCCTCTTCATAGGCTGTTTTCTGGATGAAACCTGGAGAAAACTGGTTCACATGTCATCTGAGGACACCATCTTTCTGGATTGTATCAGCCATCATTCTCATCCCCTATCCCTCTCTCTGTGTTATCTGCATTAGTGTGAACCATCTTCAAGTCTCATTCCTCTTCCACTCTTTCCTTGCAGCCATGACAGGCCTTGTTGTACCACCGATGTAAAGAGGAGGAAGAACTGCTTTCTTATAGCACAAAACTACTTATTCTGATGGACCAATACTGAGGAAAGCACTATGAGCTCCTTGGGAGAGTCATGCCCCCAAATGAACATAACGGACAGATTTGGGTATGCAAGGAGCCTGCATCTTACTTGGCCTCACCTTTCTCCCGTAGCTGTGATGGTGGCTACACAAACTGACCTTCTTGTGGACAAGGACAAAAGATGTCATTGACATGGTCAGTGTGCTAAGAGCAGAAATGCCATTCTTTGTTATGAACATTATGAAAACCACCTTCCTATGTTTGTAAAATATTTAAGAAAAAAATTGGCAAACAATTCATGCTTAATATTTTGGATACTATTTGTTTTTCTTTGTAGGAAAAAAAAGTTGAAAGTTTCTATTTTCTATGAAGCCTTTCAGATACCAATTTAGTTTATGCAGAAAAAAAATTGAACAAAACAGGGTACCAGCATGGAAGACTTTCTTAAAATCTGAATTGAATGATGACATGTCGTTGTGTGTATTTGCTTATAGTTTAATCTCTTAAAAAAAAAAATACAAAAAAACAAAACAAAAACAAAAAAGGGAAAAATTTTAAAATGTTTTACAATTATTTAAATAAATAAACGTGTAACTTATTGTAAGTAGAAGTAGAAATTAAGACCTTTTTGGGAGGAGAGGGGAATTTCTCTTCCTGATGTAAAATGAAAATGATGCAAACATGTAGTAACAAGTTAAAAAGGTGTGTGATTATTACTGCAGTTACTTACTAGACTTTTATCCCCCATCCTAAATTCCCTTCTTTTTCTATTATTTTATTGACTCATGGGCAAGAACTTAATCTAGATTCCTGCAGAGCAACCCAATACAGAAACAAAATCTTGAGTACATGCATATAACGCTAGCACTCAAACCCATCAACACATTCCCAGCTCCATCTGCTTTCTAAGTAGTTTACATGTCCCTTTTGGTATTCACTCTTTGTGAATATATATATAT